TTCATCATGTTTGCATGTGTTGCTTGAAGCTTGAAGCTAGCCACATGCCTTAAATTCACCGCAATAGGGAGCAATATGTCTTTCCCCTAAGAGGTTCTCTCCATATTGCCACTGCATATGTGATACTGCAATCTCACATCTAGGAGAGATAAAGTATAAATAGTTCACCAGTGTCAAGACGATTAACTACTAATTGTTTTGAGTTTAAGCTTTTATTGACGTCGTATATACATAGGTAGTAATTGCAGTTGGAACATAGGTTAGAGTCTTGATGCCAGATCCTTGCAATCCATTTAGGCTTATCCATTTAGGCTTTTCCAATGGCTGCTGACTTGGCTATGAGAACTTTGTTGTTGAGAGTGATTCTCTCTAGGCTCTTACCGCCCGCTATCATGAGATGTTGAGGGGAGAGTTTTTAGACTTGGTACCTGGTCGTTGAGAACATTAATTAAGCTTCATTTTTCCAACGGAAAGAAGGGGTTAATTATGAGGAAATGTCTAGCTAAAATGACTTGACTGCCCCCATTAGCAAGTTGAGGTATAGCTTACAATGACTGACAATTAGAAATTTGCATATGGAGTTGTATGGTGAGCGAGTTTACATTTAAGGAAAAAATGAATCTATAAACTTGTCATACTAGTGCATTGTGCTTTGTTGTTTGTTTCTTCATAATTCATTTAACTAGTCTTGCTGCTCGATTATATAGTATTAAAGCAATCAATCATAAGAGAAATGGTAGACGGTATGTGACAAAAATACTGCCTATCATCACTTCAATTATCAGCCATTAGATATTAGCTATCAACTATTAGTTACATCTAAACAACTAAAATATATTGAAAAATTATTAACAATGAAGGGGAAATGAAAACCTCTCTTCATCTATAGATTCGTGAGCATTGCAGATAACCGGGGTTTTTGACATCTACCTAAAAGTGAATGAGCAAAAGATGAAGATGATGAAGTATTTACTGATAAACTTGTTTTATTCAATCCTCGAGAAGCCGGAGAATGAATCTTCTCAGCACAAGAAAAGTGATGGTAACTTTGCAGAAGAGCACTAGTTCTGGTGATGCAGACCAAGTTAACTTGCAAACAGGTTTCCAGGGCCATTTCTGTAGCTTGACTGTGTTTCTGTTAGCACTTTGCGTGCAGGTACTAGACTTAGAAGGATGATGTGAATAAAATGTGGCCTTGATCTGTTGCAACTTGTAAGGTTGATTTTTCGTTTCTTCTTAAAATTTCCTCCAATGTAATAAATAAAGGAAATTTCTGTCCTATTGCTTTGTGCTATTTAGTTTAGAAATGGATATTGTTTGCAATATTGTGAGATTTTAGAAATCTAGAAATTCATGTGGATGACAAATTGAGGATTTGGAAGCATAATTCCCACACAAAAAGGTCCAGTAATTGACAATAGGCCAACCCATGGAACGGAACTTTAAGGTATTATTCGGAAGGGCCTATTGTATTTTTGTAGGTTAAATGCTAATATTGGTCTCTTAATTTTAGGTTTTTATATAGTTTTTATTTTTTAACTTTTTTATACACTTTTTTTTGTCCCTTAATTATAAAAAATATACATTTTAAATCATTCCGTCAATTAATCAATTAAATCTATTCATATACATTTTTAGTCTCTAAATTTTTAAATTGATGGATAAAAATTGTGTAAAATTCTAAAGTTGAAAAATTAAAAATGTGCATATATAAATAAATTTAATAGATTAACTGACAAAATGATTAAAAAGGTGCATTTATAATAATTGAGAGACCAAAAGCACATAAAAAAGTTTAAGGGATGAAAAATATACAAAATTCTAAAGTTAGGGACTAAAGTTATTATCTAACCTATTTTTGTATTATGTCTCTACTTATCATAATATAGTATTAATAAAGTAAATAGCGTCCATCATTGATTGGTCGAGTAGCCATCCCTTGCGTGAGGTGGTGGATAGGACATTGGAGTCCTGGGTTAAAATGGCTATGATGGGTGGAAAATGAAGACGGACAAGTGCATTTTAAAATTCTAATTTTTTGATATTGTAAAACTATTAGTTATGCTAATTATAAGGTAGGTAATGAATTTTTCTTAAGTAAATAATTAACACATAATCGAATATTGAAATCCACTAATGGACATGAAAATGCAAGAACTGATGTTCTTAATTAAGAGCAACTAAAGTTTGTGTCTTCAATTATTAAATTGGAGAAAGTTAGAGCCCAAATTAACTATTTATGCCCATTGCAAGATCGGGCCTTTTCTCTATGGGCTTTTCATTTTTCATTGTTTTCAGAGGGAAGGGTGCGGCCGGTGCCTAATCCTTCCCCTCAGTGGTTCCGCCCCTGGGAGGAACTTATGTGGAAGATGCTGATGATGTTGAAGAAGTGGAAAAGCCAAACCCTAATTGCACGTTTATTTTCGTGCTCAACACCTCCAATAATTGTTCTCCCGGACAACACTCTCGATTTTTCAAAAT